GTGTCGAATAAATCTGTGTCGAATCGAGCGGTGTCGAATCGTACTGTGGTCAATAGTGTCGAATAAATCTGTGTCGAATCGAGCGGTGTCGAATCGTACTGTGGTCAATAGAGTATCACCCGAACTCCTCTTCTGAAATCCCCATTTCGTTGGACCACTCAACAGGGTGGTCCAACTCCGGCTACTGGGATGGCCAAGCGCCTTTCCCGCCGGGGAAGAGGGTCGACACCACCCTCTCCAACAGCTGGGGGTCCAGGCACTCCGTGACCGGCGGGGTCCAGGAGCGTAACTTGCCCATTACCAAGCGGTATAGGCGGCCCCATGAATCCGCGTCAATCGCATCCAGAATTTCCTGCCATGCTCGGGACTTTGCCTTCTTAATGGCGACTCTGAGGGCTTTGCGTGCTGCACGATATACCTCATAAGCCGTCTCCGCTGCTTGGACTGTCTCGTCGCCTCGGTGTAGGCGGCGACGGGTGTGTGTGTACTGGTGGTGGGCTCCCACACTAGCGGTCCGGAGACCAGCAATCTCTTCCGACCACCAATACACCGACCTCCGGTTTGGTAGCCCGCGAGAGCGCGGCATGACCGCATCACAGATCATGTGTAGCGTCTCGCGGAACCACCGGAGCTCCGCTCGGAGGTCGCGCGGCCCGGCCGGTGGACGTAGCCAGGCCGCGGCCTGAGCAGCAGCAGACAGAATGCTTAAGTCCAACTTCCTAAAGACCCACCCTTGGGAGCGGCGTTTACGTCTTCTTCCGTGGCGATCCCGAAGGGGGCCAGGGAGTACGGAGACCCTCATTGTTATGTAACGATGATCGGAGAGGGTCTCCAGATCTTCCCTGACCTTCCACAAGATAGTTTCTCCTTCTCTTTCAGCTTTCGGGGTGATTGGCCACGCTCACTAGAGAGGATAGAACTGTGACATGATTTATGACCCCATAAATTTTTTATAACTTTTTTTTAATTTTTTAAAAATAAGTATTTGAATTTTTTTTTGAGGAATTTGAGTAAGGAGGGAAGAAAAGTTCGAGAATGTTTGAGTAGAAAAATTCTTTATTAAAAGAGTATATATTTATTGAAAAATCCGTTTTGAAGTAACTGGTAATAATGTTGGTGCCGCTCTGATGTTGCTGCTTTGTACGTTCAAACGTCAATAAGAGTAAGTTGTTTGGTTGAGGGAGGAAGTGTAAGAGCAGAGGTGGTGTCGGCCCCGAGAAGGAACAATCAGCGTCTGGTACAATATGGTTCCCAATGAGCGTGGAGCAAAATTGAGGGCATCTAGGCAAAATAGAAACCGACATAGAAGTAGGTGTCGCAAGTCTGTAACTAGAAAGTCAAGGTTCTGATATAAAATAAAAAATAAATTTATGTCCGTTGCGGATTTTTTTTTCTGAACAATTTTCATCTGCGCAAACTTGTACGTGCGGGTTGACAAGTGCGTGTCGATGAGCAAAAGAAAACATAATTTTTTTTAAAAATAAAAACGGTTTGTGATTTGCGACAGCCGACCTGCATGTGCTTATTCGTGGAGAGTTGACAAGAGCGTGCCCCACAAAAGAGAACATAAGATTTTTGAACATAAAAAACACAATTTATGACTCGCGACCTGCGCGTACTTGTTCGTGCGAGAAACTTCAAGAAAATTCTACGAGAGTTTTTGATAAATGGATATTTAATGTAGAATGTTTATAAAAATGTGTGAGAAGTTTAGGAATAAGTTTCTTGGGAAGAATAACAAAAAACAACATAATACACTTAACATTCTCTGAATTATAGTACACTTATTTGATATAAACTTAGATATATTGTGAATATATAACAGAAAATACAAGATTACAGTTGAGTATTTTTTTTTGTTTTACAAGTACAGTATTGACTGTAGTGTTCAGGAAAGCGGGTTTGTACATTGTTGGATTTCGTAGAGAATATTTTTCAAAATAATGTTACGTCCTGATCTACGGTTACGATCGGGTCCTAACGGAGGAACAAAACTTGACACACGACACTTTTGTGTATTATATCTTGGCACACTGACCTAATGAGATAAGGCAAGCATGCGAGTCGAGCGAGACTGTTCAACGACGTAGTCAAGTCAACGGACTTCCCGATATTACTTTTCTAACGTCTTCTCACTCGTCGGTCCTCTTTTAGGTCTTAGAAACAAATCTAATTTACCTAGGACAGGACCTGGCGATCACGTGATGAGATTACAGTAATGAGTTTTCAGGATAGATATTCAAAAGTTCATTTAATTAGTTAAAGCCGTTTTCATTTTTATGAGTATATAAATCATTTTTATTCAAAATATTAACATTTAGGTTTATTCGAAAATATTCTTACGCAAGTTGAATTAAATAATTGGACGTGTGATGAAGTTTAGTGTGAATTTGAATATACATTGGCATTGTTATTATTTTTAATCTTGGGAATTCTCGTTATTAACATTACTGTTAGTATATTCAATATTTTAAATCCTTATGTAAATGAGCACCGTCACTATTTAGGCTATTGCCGGATAGACGGGAGTTGGTATGCTTGAGTCCGCTTGCTCGACGGGCAGCGGTTCTCCGCCGCAAGGTTCGGTTTTAGATATCGCGTTGTTAGAATCACGGTTGATTTTCGGAGCGGTATGACAACTACATACGATTTGCTACTGCTCAAAGTTTGACAGTGGTGATTGGAAATCGGCAGCGGCTCAGAACAACTGACGTCGTGAGTCGCTAGTCCGATAGAAATGGAAGTCAGCAGCGGCCCGGAACGACACACAAAGTCGTGAGCTGCTAATCCAACAAGAATGAAAAGTCAGCAGCGGCTCGGAACGACAACCAAAGTCGTGAGTCGCTAATCTGACAGAAAAAGAAATCGGCAGTTGTTCGGAACGACACAAGATCGCGAACAGCTAGTCCGACTGAAAGAAAATCGGCAGTTGTTCGAAACGACACAGGGTCGTGAACAGCTAGTCCGACTAAGATGTCGAGGAGAAGAGATTATTTAAATGAAGCAGTTATTAATTGAATTGTCAAATTTAATCTTTTCTTCCGAATATCAACCGTCTTGAAAAAGGTTTTACTGTATGCGTGAGAACCTTAAATTTGTTTTGCAAACTATTGCATTAGTAAGTAC